CCTGAAGACAATTCAAAAATACATACTTAGTGTAAATAAAATTATTTTCTTCCTGCAATGAATCACCATCTCTTGATTATTTAGTCCTATGGAAGAAGCACAGTGTGGATAGCCCAGATCTCCAGTCAACTAATAAATGTTCCCTATTCATTTAAAATACGCTTTTTTAATAAAATAATTAGTGTTTCTGTTAGAATTTACTCAATATACTGTTAAGGAATGTATATCCTTTAAACATAGAGGGAAAAGAGAAGTTTCTGGGTGTCAAAAGAAGGAAAATTTGAAATTATTTCCCTGATGAAAAAGTCACATGAAAATCATTTAGTTAACTATATGCAATAATGCCCTGAGCTAGAAATTTCCCAGGGTTGTGTGCCTGAGGAGTATACATTGTTAAATCAGAATTTTAAAAATAAAAATGAAAATGCATTTGAAATTCTGCCACAACATGTATTTTACTGTTAAATTTGTAGTGCTGCAATGTATCACATTTATTGTGTTCTTTTTTTTTAGAGAGAAATTTTTGCTACAAGGTGCATGTGCTCATCAGACAGACAGAGAGAGAGAGAGAGAAATCACCCCCTGGGGGGCGTTGGCCATGCCACAATCCTCTCTCCTCCATTCTCCTCCTGGGACTTTGGGCATGCACACACGTGAGTCCAGTGTGACTCTCAAGCCTCCAGTCCAGGACTCAAACCGTGCCTGGCAAAATGAGAGTCCAGTGCCACAACAACTATGCTACCTGCTGGCCCTATTTTGTTCTTATTATCATTTAGAAATATATCCTTATTAAAATATTACAGATTTGTTTCTAAGTCAAAAATGTAAGAAAAATTAAACATTCATGCATCCTCAGTTACCAGAGATATTATATATAAAGAGCAAGAGTGAAAAATCTACCAAATCTGGAACCAGCCAGTGGCATGGTGGTTTAGGCAGCTGGATACCACATGGCTGAGTGTGCAGTTCAAGTCCTGGACCCTGCAGCTTGAAAAACACACCAATGCATATGCATGTATGGTCAAAACCCCAATAGGATAATGAAGGAGAATGTATTGCAGCATGGCCATGCCCCTTGGGTGGTGCTTTCTCACTTTCCCTTTCTTTCTCCTATGAATGTATGTGCTCTATACCAAAATTTTAAAAAGAGAAAGACTTTTACTAATCTGTTTGCAAACTGTGTTTCTAGCCCCTGTACTAGCAGAAATCTCCAGATCACATATTTAGTTACTGTTTAGTGCTGTGCAAATTAAATATTAAATAAAGTCCTGAGAATGGATCACATTATTTCCATTCTATTGATCAGCAAGTGATCATAACCTCTCAGATATTTTTTCATAATAGTGAGTACCATTAACTAAAAGCCACTCCATTCCAGGCACAGCTCTCAGAACTTCACGTATTAACTCTAGTGCACCCATCAACTCTATCAGGAAGTTATTATTAATATGAAGATGTTTATGTTCACAGAGATTAAGTATTTTCTCCAAGGTCAAGCAGCTAGCGATTGGCAAAACCAGGAACGTAAAAAGGCCCTTGTAGCTCTAAAGCCCTTGAGAGTTTATTGAATTTATTGGCAATTACCCAACTTTGCTGTTAATCGCCTTTAATTTGTTCTATGGCAGTGTTTTCTCTGGGGGAAAAGAACATAAACTTCATTCTGGCAATAGGGACTATTATCTCCACAAACTCAACCATTGAGCGGAGCCAAATCAAAGCAGATTGAATTGAAACCCAAAGTTCTCCCTCCTTTACTGTGAATGATCTGTTTTGATTAGTTTAAAAATCGTACAAATTGTCCTTTTGAGTTCATGCCAGGAGCAAAGTAAAAGTTGTGGCTTTTGCTTTCACCAGGCAGTTTAGACTCTAATTTGTGACAAAATAATTGTAAGTAAAAAGTAACTATTGAGCTAGAATTTTTATTCCCAGGTCAAATCACAGCCTTTGGTAAAAAAGAAGCCAAACATTTTCAAAGGAAAAGTTGTCTAGGATAAACTTTTCTAAAAGATACGCTAGATGTGTCCTAAGTCAACACTGAAAACAAACTAATTGGCTTTCTCAAGTAAGCCTGAGAAAAGAGAATTTAGAAGAGATAAATTACGTACATCCAGGAAAAATGAATTAAGTAAGAAGAGACATATCTTGAAAACATAGATGCACAAGTGAGAAATGCAGCTTAAAAAACACACCAGGTATGTGTGGATGTCCCAAATCCTGATGGAATGGAGAAAATGGAGGGAAAAGAACTGTGGACTGACCATACTCTATCAGGAGGTGTTTTGTTTTATTTTTCTCTCTGTCTCTGTTGCTCTGACAAGTGTATACGCCCTCTGGCTATTTTTAAAAAGTAAATAAACAAACATACACATGCACTATTTGGGAGCCAGGCAGTGTTGCAGCTGTAACACAACTGGACATACGTGGAAAGGTCCTGGTTTACATCCAGGAACCTCCCTGGAAATGCTGAGTACACATGTACCTTTCATCCAGGCTGGCTGGGACTGAGGGTAGATCTCTGTTGGGGGTGACTTTCTTTCTCTCATGGAAGAAATAAATAACTAAATGTGCTATTCATGTATTCAGGAGTCAGAAAGCATGGATACTTGCTGGTTTACTAATTTTTTGATTATCCGTTTATTTTGCTATCTCTGTCTTTTCTTATTTGGGGATTTACTATCTTCTTTTTTCTTGGTTAATAGTTTACCGCCATTTAAAACCAATTATATGCCACTAATTACAAATATAAAAACAGAGATGGTTAATACCATCATTTCCTTGGTCCCTTAGACAAAGCTCATCATAATAATTTCCATTTATTCAGAACAACACTTGTACAATCACGTTCAGAACTGCCTTCATATTTTTCCCATTCTTCATTGATTCTTCAACATTTAGCTTACTGTAAAGATATACACTAAGAATCTGTATGTCAAGATAGATCTTGGATTACCTTTGCAGAATCTTTCCTCCTTCTTCACTTGAAGTTTTATAAGGACATAGCCCTGTTTGTTAAATGGAATTATATAACATCGGCTTCCATCTGGACAGCTTTTCTACTCATCTGTTTTCTTATACCCCTCTCAAATCCATTTCACCAAGTTACTTTGCTGGTATGATTTTCATTTCTATTTGTTCTGGCGTGTAAAAACAAAATGACTACAGATGCTCCTCATTTAATGACCAAGTTCCAGTCCTACAACTAGGTTAATAGAATTAGTCAATAAGCGAAGAAGTTATAGGTGGAGGTTTTGTGGTGTGTTATGGAGCCATATAGTATGTATTTTTCAATAGATGTCATGTGACATCATGCATAAATAATGTAATTCTATCCATACAAAAAATATGCATTATATAAGTTACAGAAAGCAACAAGACACACCATAATAATATAAATTCAGAACAATTGTTTTTATCATGGATGCACAATAAAGTACAAATTTATAAACAAAACATTTAGTCATGTGAGATTGGAAATGCTTCATGTAGAGAGTATTAACTGACTGTGGGAATGAGACAATGACTGAGAAACAAGATTCCTGCAAATCACACAGAATGAGAAAGGGGATTCCCTGCACTGGAGAACCGGCAGTACGTCCAAGCAGTTGTTAACCAGGTCGTTCCATGAGGATAGACTTACGGCCCCATGTTTTTGAAACTGGATGCACAGAACACCACTAGAACCTAGTAATTAGGGTTAACTACTCCACAAGTTGGAATCATATCTTACATTTTAAAATAAAACATTTCTAAGAACACTGATTCCTAATCCACTCAATAAATATTGAGACTAGCAGTAACCGTAAAATGGATGCAAACGTAAGTACAGTGTCCCAAAATCTTAGTAAAGTTCTAAGCTTTAATAAATTCGGAAACCTAAATGCTACAGACTTGCAAAAACATCATTTTAAAAGTTTATTTATATTGCTTTCATACTTGTTTTGAAGATTGAAAATGAAACTTTTAAGTTTTTGCTTTTATAATTTGCATTTTTATCAGTTTTGAAAGAGCACAATGCACTTCCTGCATCTTATTTCAGCATCTGTATTTTATCATCTTTGACTATGATTAATTTTGATTGAAATTTTTGGATTTAATAAAAATTTATTATCCCAGATATATGATTTTAAACAAGTACAAATAAAATGGAAATAAGTTTTCAAATTATTTCTCTTTTACATTTGTAAGCATTTCTACATCTGAAGTTACTAAACCATTAAAACATCATTAAGATTTTTGGGGGGACATTATTTTATTAATTTACTTTTTTTCCTTAAACATGCCCTTTACTCCAAAATAATCATATACTTTTTATTTTCATGATAGGCAAAAGTTTGTTTTTCAGTTTAAAGGTAGCGCAACTCAGCAGATAGATTTTTGAGGTCTCCAGTTAAAAGACACTGTTCAGGGCCAGCTGTTGGCATGGTGATTAATGCAGCTGAATTTCACAAGACCAGCTGAGTAGTTCGAGTCCTGGACCCAGAAATTTGAAAAATACACCAGGTATGTGTACATGTATGCTCAAAATCCTGAAAGGAGAAATGGAGGAGAAGTGATTGTGGTTTCACTGTCCCCATGGGGAGTACTTTCTTACTTTCTTCCTCTGTCTCTTTGACTCCCTGGCTAGCACACACGCCTTCTAGCAAATTTAAAAAAAAAAAAAAACTGTTCAGCAACTGCCCTACATAATAAACCAATCTTCGTCTCTACCGCACATCAAAGTATATTTCTATTGGAATTCCTTTAATGTATTCAACGCCAAACTGTAACCCTAAGGGACATCATTCAATTTGTTTATACTTTATCTATTAGTATTGCTAAGAACCCAGCTTAAAATATAGGTGAAGAAAAAAAAAGACAAAATGAGGTTTCTCAAAAAAAGTATTGCAAACAAGTATCAGAAAAGCATAATTTTACTCCTCAATGTGTGCAACCTAACTTGGTTTACAATTAAAGAAGGATCTTAATTGTCAAACTTTTAACTTTTATTAAATGTTTGTGGTAAAGCATCAAATGAATTCCAGACCTCTATAAATACACAGGCAGCTGTTTGTAATTTGCATTTTTATCGGTTTGAAAGAGCACAATGTACTTCCTGCATCTTATTTCAGAATTTGCATTTTATCATCTTTGGCTATCCAGTATATAGTATGGAGAACTTGAATATCTCATTCTTTGAATTTTCATTTTTGATTGTAAATCAGATGATGTCCGGCACTTTTCTCTTTTCTCATTTTTCTCTTCTCTCAACCTCCAGTTTTACTTGCTCCCATTTCTTCTTGGCTCTAATAACAAAACACATGCACAAAAATTTAATTATTTCTTTTCAGCCTCCCTTTGGAGAACTACTAGATCATATTTTTTGGCTAATTACTTGCCCTAAATCTAAAGACCGAACAAATATTAATTTTATTGCTTTAATTCATCAATTTTCAAAGTGCTAGTCAGACTAGTTCCATGTCTTTCCTACACCTACTGATTGTTGCATTTGGATGGAGGGGTTGCAAAGAATGGCAATAATAAGATTAGGCTGCACTATGGGGTACCCAGAATGAACATCAAGAACCTTCCATCCTATAGGGATGAGTACCTCTCTTCACAGTAGTTACATCCCTATCAGAAGGACACCTGGCCTCAAGGAAAGGTGGCAAGGAGAGTAACATCTCTAGTTCCTTCAGCCTCTCCCCCTCCACAGACACCCTGTACCCACAAACATTCACAATTTCCTCTCCTATTGCCTCAGTCTCATAGCATCCAACATTTTCCCCAAGGGCTCTTCAAGCTCATTTACACTTCTGTGCCCTCTGCTGCCAGACCTTGGAGGAACAGACTAATGGCAGCTTGTGTTTTCTGCCTCCTTCCCTCCAGCCTGCCATCTGTCCACTGGGAAATGCCGAAACTGCTGCTTTGTGCCCTAGCAGAAATGTGGGGGGAGAAGAAATACAAGCCAGTCTTTCTCTTCCATTCTGGCAATGACAGTAATTGAAAGAGGTAAGAGTATCAGGGTTACAAATTTCCCATTCACAAGCGAATATGAAAGTGTACTTTATTTTATTATAAAATCTGTTTAATTTCTTGACCCTAAATCCTTTCCTGTTGTAGAAATTGTGTCTAGTCACATACATTCTGCTCATTTCAGTCACAGTACTGTCATCATTTGGTCACATTTGGATTTGAAAGTCTTTCTCAGCATTTTCTCTTTACCCTACACCTCCCTGTGGTTGTCCTAATTTCTGGAGTAGGGACAGGGGAGAATTTTGCTGCTGTGTGACAGTTGGGAAAAGAAAATATTTCAACAGTCTTGACTTGTCTTGGTCATGTGCTGGGCATTTATTGCCCTTGAATGGTGGCCCAGATATCCTAGCCTAAGGTTTTTCAAACTTTAATATGCCCCTAACCACCTGAGATGTTAAATACAGATTCTGATTCAGCAAGTCTGAGATGGAGCCTCCGCATTTCTAACAAGCTCACCGATGATGTCCTTGCAACTGGGTCCTCAGATCATGCTTAAATTAACAAGGGTGTGACCAGTAGATGCTGGCTTGGTTTCTGCTTGGCTTCCAGCACAGGCAATCTGTTAAGATTACAGCTAAATAATCCCCCTCCTCTTCTGTCCCAGTAGCACTCAAGAGCCGATGCCTCTTTCTGATGCTTATCCTTCAGTCCCAGCCAGAAGACCTTGTGAAGGCTTACTGGTCCTCTTGTCCAAAAATTCTCTCCCACTTGAGGTTCAACAGGAATGTTGATGTCCTCCTCTGAAACCTGGCGCTTGGAATCTCAAGGAGCTATCTTCAGCCCTCTCACGGTTAGACGTGACTTTCCCTCTCTCTAACCCAGATGACATTGAAAATCCTCTCCGCAGCTTTTCTCCCTAAACTGCATCTGGGAAATGAATTGTGGCCATACATGGATGCATGGGTCCTGTGCCATATGGGTATGGCACTTGTATTGCATTTAGGAGTGACTCTTCCTTCCCCTGATTTTTCTATGACTCATATTAAACTATCTGGGAGAGGAGAAATCTACCAGAATGTAGCAGTCTCTTCTCGTCCATAGAAAACACTGTTCTAAGACCCCAATGGATACTTGAAATTGCAGACGGAACTAAACTCGATTAATGTTAATTGGAACATGTTCCCATTCATATCTTCCACCCACAAAATTAATGTCTTTTCCATCCCATCAAGCACGGTGGAGGTAACATTTGTCATTTAAGGTGAGACAGCAAAACTAACATGGGTTTCTTTTTCTTTCTACACAATTTGCCAACAGTTCTTGCCATGGATCTTAGCAACCATACTTTTCCCCCCTCATTAAGAACTTTCTCATTTTCACTTAAAGGAAGCACTTTACAGCTTCTCTTTGGTATATATAAATTGCTGACATCACTACTCTTGTACTTTGGGGCCATTTTAAGTAAAATCAGGGTTCCTTGAACATAAACCATGCAATGAAATAGTCCATCTCATAGGCCAGTTGGTTACGAGGTGACTAAGGCAGGAGTATGTATTACATGGATAAAGTAAGACAAAGACATGTTTCAGGCCCAAGCCAAACGGAGAAAGATGGTGTGAGATTTTATCATGCTGCTCAGAATAGCATGCAATTTAAAACTTATAAAGTTTTTGTTTCTGGAATTTTCCATTTAATATGTTCGGGTGTGGTTGATCATGAGGGAACCAAAACCACAGAAGTGAAACTGCAGGAAGGTGGGAGCCCTGTAGAAGGGCAGTCACTGGGACAGGAGATTGGGTAGGGAGCATATCCTTTAATACCCCAAATATCATCCTGCCCCTAAGAAACTGCTGGAGAAAGAGCTTTAAGTCAACAATTTCTAGTTTTATCCAGGACTTTCATCAACCCTTCACCTCTTTCCCTCCAAATTAAATGCAATCACATGTGAAAATTCAAACAAAGTTAGGGAAAAAATATAATCAGTTAAATAGCACTACTGCAGAGTTCTTATGCAGTACAACATGATTTGGGGAAATGATGAGGGAAAAAGAGGAAAGCAGTTATTTTTACTATCCATCAGTCTGTATACTGAGTCTTGGTTACAGTCAGAGGTTTCCAGAAATCCTGCTTTAGATGATATCAGCTGTCAATTTTGAAAAGGAGAAGGTTTTTGATCTAGACATATTCCAGTTCATTCTGAGTTGTTCTAGTATAAGAGATCACAGATTTTAAAGATTGTTCTGAGGGAACAGCAGACGGGGTAGTGGTTACATTGCTGGGCTCCTACATAACTGACTAACTTTTGAGGTCCTTACCGGTGGCTTGAAAATCAAGCTGGGTGTGTGTGCGTGTGTGTCCAAAATCTTAGGAGGAAAATGGAGGAGAAGGGATTCTGGTGTGGACATCTGGGGGCAGAGGGAAGGGGGCATGGATTTTTCACTTTCCCTCTCATAGTCTATCTATCTCTCTTTTCAGCAAGTGCAAGTACCCCAATGTCTCTCTCTCTCTTCCCTCCTCTCTCTGGCAAGCACACATGCCCCAAGGCAATGCCTCTAAAAAAAGATTACTCTGAAACTTTGTGCTACTAATTTAGGTAGAAATGCCCTATCCAGAACTTTTTATGAAAGGTTCTGTTGTCTATGAAGTAACTAAAATTATTTTATCCTATATGGTTTTCCAAGATTTCTTGGCTAGCTCAGGATAGACATCAAAATTTTTAGCAAAGGAACTTGAGGTCAGAATTACTCTAAATCTCAATCTGAAGAGGTTCCTAGGATCCTCATACCCTTCTATAGAACAGATAACAAAGGGGAGATAGATTGCAGTCACGCAAAACCTCCTGGGCTAGAAATTTCATCTTGGCTGTCCTGTCAGCCTGTACCAGCCAATATTTCTCTATGGTGATAGCAAGGCTTTAAGACTGTGTTTGTGTCAAATACGGTTGTAAATGTTTGCACTGCAAATAAGGCGTTTTAATGTATTACATAATTGCTACAATTACTATGCTTGTTGCAGAGAATAGAACTAGATCAAAAGGATTTCTGGGAACATAAAAAATAGGCAAAAAAGGAACATAATAGAACATAGTAAAATGAAATTACTAGTAGACAAAGTTATCTGTTAAACCCCAAGTAACTAATTATATATATATACTTTCAAAATTTTCTTTTATGTTTCCTAAAATGTGTTCCTTGAACTGAAAAAAATTGTCATTCACTTTCAGAATTTTATGACACATTGCAACTCTAGAAAATATTTACCTGTATATATCTTTTCAGTTTTAGAATATGTTTTTGAGAAAGGAATTCTTTTTCGCCAGGCTGAACCATTATATGATGTTGGCATGTATTTGTCTGAGAAAAAAAAAAGACAGAATTAATATTTTATAACATTAAAATCATATTCCAAGGGTGTTTCAAAGTTATAAACATCTCAGGGGTGAAGCTATTCCCTACATCATTCATTTTACCACTTCAAAGCTCAGGCATCAGAATTCAAGTAAGTTTACTAAGACCACTTAAGTTATCAGAGAACGTGGTTATAGATCTCTCAATTGGCTGCTCAGTTCCTCAAATAAAGTTCTCTCCCATGAGGCTAAGCTCTAGGTGAGTATGCTATCTGGATATAATCAAAATATTTCACTGCCTTGATCTTCCATTATTTTCATACAACTCTGCTAATGATTGTAGAGCTAAATACAAAACAAAACAAAAGAACTGATGAGGGGTGACCCAAATCCTGTTTCTTTCTGTGAAGTGACTTTTATGTTCACAATGATCACTCTGCAATAGTGACCTCACTGTCCCAAGAAACCAAAGCATTTCTATAATGATCTGATCCTTAAATATTTATTTTTTTGTCTGACGGCTTTACATTTCAACTAGTAACTAACAATATTATATTTATATTTCCAGGAATGACTAGGCAACTGTGGTTCTCAAAATATGAGCTATAGCGATACTAAGAATTTGCCTTTTGATCCTGTGTTGACATTTGCGCTCATTGCGCAAAAGCAATGGGAAGTATGACTGCTGGCACTTTCACACAAACCTGGAGATCAACAATAAACTGTTCTAATATTCATTGCATTCATCACAGCCATCCACTGACAGTAAAATGATAATAATCAATAATGGTATAATAATAAATAAAATGAAAAGCCTGTTTGACTAAAGAATATCCTTTTTTACATATACACATCCACATTCCATTCAGCTGGATCATCAGAAAAGTTGTGACACATTTTTACATAGAGAAACATAGAAAAAATATATCATGACTTTTCCAATGACCCAGTATTCTAAAATACATAGAAAAATAAGTTAAATAAAGCTCGCTTTTATTCAAATTATAAAATAGAGAATCTAAGAAAGGCATGGAATCTTTACTTATGTTTCCAAAAGTATATAGCACACAGAACTCCGCTAACTAGACTATGCACATGAAAAATACTAACATGAAATCATAGAGAGTTAAGGGGTATTTTGTAGAGACACCTAAAACCCAACTCCAAAAGAGCATAACTTCATCTGAGACAGGAAGAGAGATTTGATTCCTTTCTCCCCTATGGCCTTGTACTTTCTGACATATACTGTGACTTTGCTTCTTACATGATAAGATGATTTAAAAGCAATCTGTGCATGGTGGGAGAGACAAGAGGTTGCCAAAAATATTGCAGTTAACCCCCCAACTAACCCTTTCAGAAAGTAATCATGAAGGCCCAGAGAAAAGCCAAGGCACTGGCCTGACAGTGATAATTGAACAATGCAGTTAGTGGAACAAGAAAATGTCAACCATTTCAAAACAATCCTCCAGAGTGAAATAAAGCTGTCTAGGGGGAACAAAGTGCAGTGCCCTGAGATAAAACTCTAGGGAGGTACAATGTCAAGTCATCTGCACCTAACCCGAGTTGTCTTCCACGTCCTTTAAATCATGTGCACGCCTGCACACAGATGAGATCCTCTCACTAGGTTTTAGGAGGTGGTGGTGGCAAAGGCCTGGGAAAAGGAGAACGGTGTGTAGCAGGGGACATTAACCAGACCGTGAAGAAATTCCTTGGGAACACAAACCGTAGACCCATAGGCCAGTGAACCATACCATTGAAGAGCCCCACCTGGGCACAGGTTGAGTTTGGGTTCCTTGTTAACCTCGACCTTGTTGTAGGACCCATTGGTGGGCCTGCTGCGGTGAGGAGCATTCAGTGAGACAGTCCTGATAGAATCTCTCTGAACATGGATATAGGATGCATTCTCAGCGTTTCGGTTTTTATTATTGCGATGGTAACTCATTTTATTTTTTGGATTTGGGACCTGTACTGCTGTAAAAGGAAAATGGGAGGGAGTAAAGAATAAAATATGCTGGTTCCACATCCATACAAAATACATTACACTTGAAATATTTGATATCACAATGGGAGACAATGAAGGCTGAAGTACTAAGTTTAGGGTAGTTGGTTGACAACTAAAATAACATTTATGTTGTATAAATACTGTTACTCGAGAAAAAAAAAAACTTACGTTTAATTTCTTCTCAAATTACAGTTTTAAAATGTCAAATACACAGACATTTTTACCTCTCCGCATTCCTGGACCAGAAAAGTTCTTTGGTTCATCACAAATCCATTTTCTTTTTTTCACACCCTTAAAATGAGGCTTCCTCACCGGCTGGATGTTATTCACTTGAAGAAGATACAAATTTTTACAGTTTTTTTTAAAAAGATGCTTTCATCAGAAAATTACTGTAGTTGATAATTATATACCTGTGCATTCACATGTCAAGCAAGAGAAAAAAAGGTACTACCCTAAAACTTTATAGAACAAAGGATGATTTTTTTTAAATGACAAGAAATATCTATCTTGGAAATAGATTGATGAGAACACCTTCAATAAGCAGCTTTCCTCAAAGAAAAATGCTTTTCTTAAAAGAACATAAAATTGTATTATAAATATAATTATAAATTTGATTATAATGCTATTATTAGGTAGTTTTAGAATTGTTACTTTCAACCTAAGTCTTTTTGTAATTTTTCAGTCAAAACATGGCCTTAAAAAGTAGAATTTGTGTAAAATGCTTTAGTGAATTTTACCTTGTTCTTTTAAAGTCTTAGGGAGTGGGGTGTACAGATAGTTTTGTCAAAAGAATGAACAATCATAATTTCTAAGTGCTAATATAATTCATTTTACTTATTTGCAAATTTTTACATCAAAACTTTTACATGCATTCATAATTTCCCAGGAACTTCTAAGGTATATTTCTCCAGATAATCTTAAAACAATTTGGTAGAGAGGGGCTTTCTGTTACTTTTCTGTGTAGGGCTCCTGAATATTCCTAAGTGACTACTGCCCAGAGAAAATGAACATTAAGTGCACTGTGTAGATCTCATTAGCTCTCCACAGAGGACTAATAAATCTGTCTTTGCCCTGGCTCTCAACCTCCGCTTAAGCTTTTGAGCTCTTTGTGAAGCTCTGTATCACTGTCTCCTTTTCGAGCATCGAGTCCCACCTCCGATCCTCAGACTCCCAGTCCCAGGTTTTGAAAAACATATTTTTAACAAGAGCCACTGAACCTAGCTTCTTGGGGGCAAGCCATCATAGTTCTCATCAGTGCTTAGCTGAGATCCAAGAATATTAAAAGGGCTCAGAATATTAATATTAATATTAAAAATGGGACAGAAGGAAGGAGGGTGGGAAGCAGGGAGATTCACAAGTATTAATTATATCAAAACAAGTACCTCAGAGTACTGAAAGCCAGGTAAAAGCCAATCAAAAAAACAATACAAAATACAATAAAATCTGACAATGTATTCACTACGGGTGCAAAAAGTTTTAAATGTTATACTAGTGAATCTCCTGAGAAGAAACTGGTATTAATGTTAATATCTAAATTAAACTAGTGGGAAAGCATATAATTTGCTAGGGCCTACATCACAATTTATTGTCAGAGTTAGTGGAGGAATATTGTCTCTTTAATTCTCAGCCCTGAATAGTTTTCAAGCCATTCTTTTTTCTTCCTTTTTCAAAATTATGTCTCAAATAAGCAAACAAGTCCATGACAGGACAAATATATCAAAGGTCAAAAAGTAATAGTTAATGTCTCACTTGAAGAGGCGTCCTCTCTGCACTTCATACTGATATTCTCAGTAGCATTTAACACATGCGTTGTAGGTATTAGTCGGGTAGTTAGGGAACGCTTTGGATGAATACTGCCATTATCTTTTAAAGCAAATTAAAATAAAATGTCAACTTTAGTAAAAGAAGCAATTCAATTGGCATTGCACTTTTCAAACATTACACAACGGGCACACCTCTCTAAATAATATTAAAATTAATATGTCTATTCATTTTAGACATCATCATTAAAATCCCCTAGTTGCTGAAATTATCCACAAATATTGTCAGTAACAAGACTGAAAAGTCGGGACCAGCAGTTAGCAAAATTACTATGTCACTGGACTCCCATGTAGTCGACCACGGTACGAGTCCCGGACCTGGTGGCTTAAATTCACGCTGGGTGCGTGTGTGTGCGTGCCCAAGATCCCAAAAGGAGAATGGAGGAGAAGGGATTGTGGCGTAGCCATCCCTCCTGGGAGGTGATTTCTCGCTTTCTGTCTCTCTGTCTCTCTCTGTTTCTCTGATGAGCACACATGCCCTATAGCAAAAACCTCTCCAAAAAAAATAATAAACTGAAAAGTCTAGAACTATAATTATTAATTATCTTCAATATGTGAACGACACAATTAGAGTAATATTTTAATATCTCCAAATGAAAGTATTATACGGTTATCAATTTTACATCGAATGGGCTCATTTAAATCAGGTTCCAAAAATATTTTAAACGTGACCTATTTCATTTGTTCTGTGCTTTGGAGTAGGATTTTTCATTAGAGCTCTCCACAATAATGGATAATATTTTAAATCAGTGCCATCTGATAATGGTAGCCACAAGTCACGTGTGGCTATTGAGCACTTTGGATGTGGTGTCAGAAAAAAATGATTTTTTTAATTATATTTTACTAATTTACTTGAATTTAAACAGTTACACATGACTGGTGGCAATTATATTAGTATAGCTTAAAGAGTTTCCTTGAGAAATTAGGAAACACAGGTCCGAGTGAGAAAGAGATTTACATGCAACTTTGCATAAAAATAATTTGATTATAAACACTTTTCCTATGTTTGAGAATATTTAATGATGGAAAAAAGACAGTAGATGAAATAGGTATATGTGTTGACAGGCAGTAGGGGAAGGCTTTTGCTTATAGAACAGCTTTTTTGGTTTTGTTCTTTTTAAAATTTGCAGGAAGTTATGTGACCTCATAAGAGAGAGAGAGCAAGAGGAGAAAGCACCATTCATGGGACACAGTTATGCCATGATTCCTTCTCCTTCTCCTCTCTCTCTCCTCCTTTCGATATTTTGGACATGTAAACTCATCTGGCAAGTTTTTCAAGTGGCTGGGTCCAGGACTTGAGCCAGGAGGTTGACCAGGTGGGATTCATCCACCTTAATCACTTCCACAAGCTAGACCTAGCTAACTTTAAATCTGTGACAGGGAGGGATGCCCAGCAGAATAACCACCTTGCGAATTCTAGGACAGTAAGGGCAGCTTAGAAGCTATAGAAGATCTATCTTTTTAAATCCCTCGATTATTCACAGATGACATAGTTGGCAGTAATAATAAAATAAGGATTCAAATGAGGTTGATACTTTTTACATTGTTCAGTGTTTTCCAACACAATCCAGTCATATTAACATTATAAGTTGGAAAAAGAAACTGGACAGGACTTGGTGTTACCATTTAAGAGAGTCAATAACATTAAAGCTAACAAGACTCCAAGAAATCATGTAGTCTAACAGGCTAGTTTTGCAGAGAAGGAAATTAATGCTGAAGACAATACAGTCTCAAGGTCAGCTAGGGACAGAGTTCGTACCAGAACCTTCAGATTCTCGACTCTTATTCAATGTATTTTTTTATTTATTACCTTCTCTTTTATATTGGTTCCTACAGCAACCAAGCTTGGCATTTTACTTACCTCTCCAAATTCCAAATCGATGAAAATTATAAAATGATTCATTACCTTTAGTATTTGAACATTTTGACATGGTGATTTCTTTTTCTTCAGTCAAAACTTCATTTTCATCTACTCCCAGAAATATTATCCTCTGTGGAACATAACAGTCACCCCCTACAATAAAACCTTACTGTTAGTGGCAACAATGGCAGAAAGTGGTACAAAATCACTTTTCTTTCTTCTTTTTTTTTTTCCTTGCCATAGGGCACATGCACTCATCAAAAAGAAACAAAAAGAAGAAAAGTGAGACATCACCTCACCCTGAGGGGGAATTACTATACTGCAATCCCTTCTTCATTGTGCTTCTGGGATATGGGGCATGCACATACATGTGCTGAATGTGATTTTTTAAATCACTAGGTCCAGGGCTCAAAATATGGCTGACTCGGGAACCAGCAGTTAGCGTAATGGCTATGTCGCTGGACTCCCACGTAGTCGACCGCGGTTCATGTCCCGGACCCGGTGGCTTAAAACTCACGCCGGGCGCGTGTGCGTGCGTGCCCAAGATCCTGAGAGGAGAATGGAGGAGAAGGGATTGTGGTGTGACCATCCCCCCTGGGGGGTGATTTCTCGCTTTCTGTCTCTATGTCTCTCTCTGTCTGTCTGGCGAGCGCATGCACCCTACAGTGAAAATCTCTCCAAAAAAAAAAAAAAAAAAATGGCTGACTCCATGTGGGAGTCTCTCCAAACCACTTTTCAATACAAAATATCTTCTACAATATTCCTTTTGTCAACTTTTGTTTAAACACTTTTCAGTAATACCATTCCCATTTCTGTAGATTTCATACATGCTTATATTAATGTATGTATGTTAATATATGTATATGAATACTTAATATGTAAACCTACATGTAGATAACTGCAAAAAAGTCACATATTCAACAAAATTAACTTTCCTTTAACTTTGAACTCTTTAGTTCTGCCCTTTAGAGATATTCAGAGTAAATGTAATTTATCTTACATAAAACATCTTCAGATATAAGAAAACAGTTTTCATGTTCCATAAAGACTTCTGTTTTCAAGGATAAAGACCTATACTCCTTTAAATATTATTTATATATAAAATTTCCATATTCTTCTCTATATGAGTTACCTTTCCTAACATGAAGTATTTCTTTCAAATAACTTTCTTTATAAATGATACTCAAAAGTAGACTAACCTGTGGAGAAATCAGTGGAATGTGTATAATAACACTTGACATTTATGGAGCACTTTTCTATGTGTCAACTCTTTTACTGAATACTTTCAATGACTTATGACATTTAATTATCTTTCTATAATACTCCTATTAATTCAATGTGAAGTTTACCTTAGCCATTTGATAGTAGAAACTTACTACTGAATCATTAGGAAACATTTTACCCAACAAAAAACACTTTTTTTTCCCTTCACAAACTACATCATGACAGGATTTTCTCAGCTTGGAGAAAAACCACCATTAATATCTTACACCTAAATTACGACTTCATGTTTACCATTGTTTGAGTTTACCTTGCTTGATTTGGCTCATTATTCTACTGTATAATAGTATATTAACTTCCAGTCATCTGAAAATTATACATTCACCCAGTTATTCAAAACATTTAAACGTATGATCATTTCACAATTATTTACTCACTTCACATTATGTACCATTCTACCACGGAGTTTTATCTATAGTAATTAATTATTGGATTGTTGGAAAAAATCATAAAGTATTTTTCTATGCAAAAATGCATCATGACTTTTCCAATGACCCAGTAAATACTGTTTCTGGCATCCAGAAGCTTACACAATACCAATGATTAAAAAAAAAAAAAAAGTCAAAAAGACTTTTGATTTTGTTATGACCAAATGGCTTACATCAGCCAAACTTTCTTGCCAAGAACAACTGTAAAATTCCAAAACAAACTGACTAGAAAACAACCCAAAGCAATGTTGAAAACAATGGAGGTGCACAAATTGAATTCTTCCACATCCACACTGGCTTTACTCAGACTGAGTAAAACTCCACCCTCACCACAGCGTTCTCCATGAAAGTATTTCTTTTTTGTTTTCTTCCATACATCAATCACATTATTATTTGTCTTACAAAGTGGATATTTCAAAAGGTGAACATTACTCCCTAGTACAGTTGATAAAACTACAAAATACCTTCAACAGATAATACCACACCTCTTTGTGCCATTAATGCTTTGCCTCCCTGTCCCTCCTGCAAATGTCCTTCCTCAGACCCTCCTCTTTCACACACACTATATCTGGTATTTACATCTATATACTGTGTTTCTATATCCTTTAGTCAATTAGTTTCAGTCATAGAGTGAGGACACTCGGTATATATTAAGTGGGTACATACAATGCCTCTCCTTCATAGCCTGGCTTGCTTCACTCAGCAGTAAGTCTTCCATATTCATCCACTTCCTGTCAAAAGCCAGGGTTTTGTTGGGTTTTTATAATGGCTGAATAGTATACCATTGAGTATATGTGCCACCGTTTTTCTATCCATTCATCTGTTTGTGGGCATTTGGGTTGTTTCCATGACTTAGCAATTGTGAATGATGTCGCAATAAACATCAAAGTGCAAGCACTTTTCTGATGAAGTGTTCTTCTGTTTTGGGGCAGATACCAAGGAGTGGGATTGCTGGATCATATGGTAGCTCTATTTGTAGATTTTTGAGGAATGTCCAAATTATTCCCCACAGTGGCTGGATCATATAGTAGTTCTGTTTTTAGATTTTTGAGGAATCTCCAAATTGTTCTCCACAGTGGTTGGACCAATTTACATCCCACCAGCAGTGTAAGAGAGTTCCCCTTTCGCCACACCCCCACCAGCACTTATCGTTTTTTGTTTTTTTAATCTTAGTCAATCTGACTGGGGTTAGGTGGTATCTTATTGTTGTTTTGATCTGCATTTCTCTTACAATAACTTATCCTGCAGAAAAATATATGCCAAGCTGAAAGTGACTAAGCAAGAAAGAGTCCATAGATTGAAGCTATCTATGCAGCTTGAACCTGAGGTAGAAATCTGAAGGAAGGAGAAATGACAATGAAGTTCCCCTGAAATATGCATACAGCTCCCTTTAAGTTATTCTTAACTCCCACACACTTCAGTACAGAGTGGGATCCTAGGAAACCAGCCACAGCAGCATTAGGAAGGCAACAGAACTGGTTAGAGCTTTCAGTAGCAGCTCACTGCTTGGAAGACAAAAGTTGGAGTTTAAGCCTCACCAGGGTAAAGGTCTTGCTAAATATCTCTGACTCTCATTAATAACCAAGAAAGGCAATATTTTTGGAGTAAGAGCTTTGACCGCAGAATGAGTATACCTTCAAAGAAAGAGCAAATAAGACATCACTTACTGTACCTTCCCTAATGTAGTCTAACAGTCAACCCTTGCAGAATCAAGGTGGTCTGGTGATGATAGCCTAGTTGTATGCCAAGAGAAAAGCAAGAACAGTTTCTCTGTGGGAAAATAACGTCATTTATATGCAATCGCATTTTATCTGTAATGTCCAACATCTAATAAAAAAATCAGAAGATATACTAAAAAACAGAAGAATTCATCACAACCTAGAGAATAACTTAAAACAGTCTTTTAAACAGCAATGGAGAAACAAAACAATAAATATGACTAATGTCAAAGTAGAGGACAGATGGACAATGTAAGTAGGAAATCCACAAATGGGTCAAATTGAGATTAAGAATTTACCACATAGATTTAAAAGAAGAAAGGAAAAAAGACTAGTGAACAAAATAGCAGATTAGCAGAAAGTATCCAGAATTATTTGGAATTATCCAGAACAATCAATAATAAAAAGACTATTTTAATTTTATTTTGAAGTTTATTTCTTTCTTCCATGAGAAAGAGACAAAGATAGGCAACTCCAACCCAGTCTTCATGCTGTGATCCATATCCAGTCTCGGCCAGCCCAGATCATGGACACACAAGCATTATGCATGCTCAGGGAGGTCCCCGGGTTATGAACCCCAAATCTCTCCCATTCGGGTCTAGTTGCATTACCACTATACCACCACATGGCCCCAGAAAAGGATCATTTGCAATGGGCTAGAGATTTAAAAACTCCATTGACAAAACAGAAAGAGCCAGCTATATGATGCAGCAGTAACATGCTGTTCAGAATAAGCAGGGTTCTACATGGTGACCATGGTTCAAATCCCCAGCCTGGTCAGTCTGGAACATGCCAAACATGCACACAAGTGCACAAGTTATGAAATGTTGGAGGACTGGAAAGGGATCGTGACATGACCAGATCCTGGGGCGGGTATGTCTCTCTCTCTCCCTCTCTCTCTCTCTCCTCTCTCCTCTCTCTCTCTCTCTCAGGTGTACATACTCTGTCATGGGTAAAGAAAGTCAAAATAGCCATTAAGTATATAAAATGATTCTCAATATTACTAGTTATCAGGAGAATACAAATTAAAATGACAATGCAATATTACCAACCACCGACCAGAATGTCTAAAACCCACCAGAATGGCTATAATTAAGAAAACTGAAAATCTTAAGTATCAATAAAAAATACAGAACCAAAAAAATGAGTGCATATGCTCTTTAGAAGATATGAACTAGAATATTACATAATAGCCCCAAACTGAGAATAATATCCATCAAAGCTCAATATCAATATTCATGATGTTTTTAAGGTTTTTCACAGAGAGAGGTAAAAAATTTGAATCACTGAACCCACACATTTCTAGCTGAGTTTCAACAGGCCAATATGCTCCACATTCTTGCTTCAGTTTTCGTAGAGATATGATCAGAGGATGAAGACAGGGAAGAGCAGCATGTCATTGTGTAAGAAGCTCAGGCCCTGGGCCAGGTAGTAGGGGTTTGAATCCCACTTCTGACATTCCCCAGTGAAGCAACTGCAGGAGAGTGAATTAACACTTCTGAATTTAGTTTTCTCTTTTGAAAAACAAATAGAATATACCATAATGAATAATTTTTAGTATTTTAGATTAAATCTATGTGTGATATGTTTGCGTGCATGTGTGTGAGTACATAAATTCTAAAAGCAGTGTTTTACTATTTGCTAATTCTGTGGTCATGTCAACTTTGCAGTATATATATGCATGTGACATGTGTAGAGGTGTATATATGCATAAAAACACATATATAGTATATGCTTTTATGGTATGTGTTTATATGCATTTTATATAGTTATATATCTATTTATCCATTTATATGTGTATGTGTAGGTGTGTGTACATATTTATATGATTACACTGCAATGTAAAAAAGCTACTGCTACAGTTAACATGGATCAGTCTCATAGAAATAGTGTCACATAAAAGAATACAAACAAAGAGTTTGAAGTGTACGTTTCCACTTGTATAAATGTCAAGAAATGCAAAATCAACCTATAGTAATAGAGATCAGAGTAGTAATCATTACTGGGACAAGACTGTTGACCTGGAGAGGAGGAACTTTCCACAGTACCATAAATAGGTTTTTATTTACGCATTTGCAAGTAACAATTCATTAAGCTCTTCTGCATATCTCTATACTTTGTTAAACTCAATGTTTAAAAAATATTAAAATAATAAGTCTAAAGACAATGCCTTCTGTGTTTTCTTTAGGTTGAATATTGACTCATTAGTTATAATTTTTTATTGTCTTCTTTTCAAAGGTATCTTATCAATACACAGGTATAAATATATTTTTCTCTCAGGCACATATACCCAGGATGTTCTTCTCTCTAAAAAAAACTACAAAAATTAACAAACCTGACTGCCAAAAACCCAGTATCTCAGAAGATGAAAAATTTGGGACCAACAATTAGCATAATGGCTTTGTCGCTGGACTCCCATGTAGTTGACCACAGTTCAAATCCCGGACCTGGCAGCTTAAACTCACACCGGGCGCGTGTGCGTGTGTGCCCAAGATCTCAAGAGGAGAATGGAGGAGAAGGGATTATGGCATGGCCATTCCCCCTGGGGTGTGATTTCTCACTTTCTGTCTCTCTGTCTCTCTCTTTCTGGTGAGCACATGCACCCTATAGCAAAAGCCTCTCCAAAAAGGGAAAAAAATTAAAAAAAAAGAAGATGAAAAATTTTAACATTCTCTTGGTATGCTTGTTAAACTAGCTGATTACTCTAACAAATTACTAGACAAAGCATAATGATACTCTCAAATTTTCTGTTTCCACAAAGTAGAAAATATACTACTATGGTCATAGCAGGAAGGAAAGTTTATTTTTGACATGAAAGCATCAGTTCATTGTGGCAAAAAGCAGACATTAACTAAAAAGGGCTATTCTTTAATAATATCTCACCAAAACATATAATTAATATTGATCCATTAAGTGGACCCGGTTTTGTTCTCTGCTAGGTTGTACAGACAAGGTAAATGTCACAGGGAGAAAATGCCAATTTTTTAATTTATTACTTAAACTCTTTGCTTCAAGAAAACCGGACAGTGACTGCTAGTCTAAAACTGCAAAGAATAGGAGAGAGGGAGGGAAAGAATAATTACTCTGGCACCAGAAAAAAAAAATAGTATATAGAATAAAATGGTTTAAAATGGATGAAGCAGGGACTTTAGAAAACACCAATGTGCCTTAGACATATTGATATTTATTAATACCTGCTCTCAACCACCTTCCCATTCCTCACACATTCTTCCCAAGCCAGCCACACCCTTTTACCTCCTGGAAAGTCTCTAAATTAAAAAAAAAAAAAAAAGCCTAGAAGTTTCTATTAAGGATTTTTCAAAATGTTACCCTAAAAAGCAGTTCCAAAAGATTTAAACTAAAATATGCAATTAAGATATGATGTCTTGGCACAAAAATACATATAGTTGAATACAGCTCCCTTAAAGTAGGCTTACTCAAACAATATATTAAATGCCTCCGACGTTTATAGTATTACAATAGTATATTATATTGCATATGTTTGATACATGACTTTATTATAACCTGGACTTGAGCCTACACATACTCATAAACACACACACACACACACACACACACACACACACACACAGATTTTTTATTTAAAAATGGAATTTATGTCTTACACACTGAGCATAATTTCCCACGGGCATTTGGTAGAGTTATTAGCCTACAAATGCATCAGATTTTATAATGTACCTCCAATCTTCTGCATTTAACATGAAATAGACAAAAAAATGAAACAAAATTAGTTATGAGAAAGTTAAGACACATTTATTATATGATGATATTTTCAGAATTATCCAGGAATAAATTAACTCACCTCCATTTTCAAAAGCAGCAATGTCAGTCCTTGGTTTCCTATCTGATGTTTTTACCTCACCTTTCTTTTCAGATAGGTTCAGTTTTGTTGGAACTGTAAGACCATCCCCTAAGGATGTGAAGGAAAGAAAAATTTAGCCCAAGAATTATTTGATGCTTAAATAAGATGCTTATGATTGAATTCATGATGAAAATAAAAAGGTTAAAAGTTAATGCAAGTATTGTTTACACAGTGATAGGGTGAAAAATATAGCAGTTTTAAACAAATTCTATGGGCCAGCCCCACAACCTAGGGGTTAGGCTTAGCTGGAAACCGCATGGCAGACTACAGTTCCAGTCCCATGACAATGGCTTCAAAAATACTCTGGGTTCATGTGGTGGGTGTCCAAAATCCCAACAGAATGGAGAAATGGAGGAGAAAAGATTGCTGAGTGACCATGCTCCACTGTGGGGCGGAGGGCGCTTTCTTCCTCTTCTTGTCTGTCCTTGCAGAGGCACACTCCCTCTGGCAATTTAAAAAACAAAACCTAAAGCAACTCAGAATTGTCAACAAAGCAGCAAGTTTGTTCTTCTAGTTGAATTATTTATCAAATGGCCACTTTGAAAATTTAGGCAATCTAACAGTATTTTGTGAACAAAATAGGCTTATTTGATGAAGTTTTCACATAATATTTTGTAATGTTTCTTTTTTTTTAATCCATTTACTGTGAACAACTGAGTAAAACATACAGACTGTATGTTTAGAACAAAATATTAATCATACCGCAAAAATTAACAATTCTTTTGTCTTTCCTTACACATCTCTGGATAAATTCCTTTTAAAATAAACTGTTGAAAGCAAAATAAAAAAGGGGCTAGAAGGTGACGTGGTGGTGAACCTTCACCATATGGATCCCACATGGCCAACTATGTGAATTGAGTCCAGAGACTTGAAAGTCACGCCAGGCATGTGTACCTGCATGTCCAAAATCCTGAGAGAAGAACAGAAGAAAAAGGCTTGTAGCATGGCCACGCTCCCATGGGTGGTAGTGGAGGGTTTCCCCATTTTCTCTCTCTCTGTTTCTCTCTGGGTGAGTGTATGTACCCTATAGCAAAAACCTAAAAAATAAAACAACAACAACAACAACAACAAAAAACAGAATAAAAGAACAACTTAATGTAATAATGCACGATTTTGAATTGTATCTTAGATCAGGGGGAAACATTTTGCTATAAAGAAAATTAATGGTGAAATTTGTGTGCAAAAAAGACTATATTATAATTATATTGTATCCATTGTAATTTCCTCATTTTGTTACTTTTCCATAGTTATGTAAGAGCAAAAGGGTATCGTGTTTGCAATTTCCATTCAAACAGTTCAGGAAATAATAGCAATGTGTATATTTAGAGAGTGAGTGAGTGAAAATTCAAATGATATATAATGCTAACCTTTGGGGGGAAATTTGAGTGAAGACTACACAGAAATTAAAATGATTTAAAACTAAAAACTTTTTAATAACATGATACAAAGTAACAGCGCACACAATTGTCTTTATAATGTGCCATTTTTAATATTCATTGCTAACTTGTTTTCTTTGTGTGTTGTGTTTTCTTGTCTGAGGACAAGCCTGCAATCTGTCTTTTCTAGTAAGACTTCCTGACTGTTCATCCCCTAATGGTGTGTTGCTGCCACCTACTGTCATGTTTAAATAATTCTTCACATTGGGTTTATAAAGACAGGCAATTTAAATAAATACTCTGTTCTACTGTATCCCATACTCATCTTGATCCTTGGAGATTTCAACCTATCCCCAGTCTCTCCTGCTGCAGAATGTGTTTATAAGCTCATGCTAGGGTCAAGAAAGCTTTCAAACTCATGTCATCCATAGGTTTTCCTGGAGTTCCCGGTTTTATATCAGAATATAACCCTCTTCTTATCTTGTATCGGAGGGCAAAAAGTTCACCAACAGAAAAATCAGATTCAGTGAAAGCCAGGTTCTATAAAACACAGAGCTTGGATCTGTCCCCCCACATCACTTCTGAAATTGCCCAGTACACAGAAGACATTCATTCAGTGAAAAAAATACCTTTGTTCTGCCACTCACATCACTCTGTGAACTCTCTTTTGTCTTTCTTGGATTAGGTTATCTGATCAATTCAGAAGGAAAAACCTAAACGTATTTCACAGAAGGATTTGTCTCACAGGCAAACAAAATGGCAAAAGCAAATTATTTACAGGATTACTACAGGGACAGTGTTGTGTTCACCATGCATTCCTAAAGTCTATTCAATCTGTAGCTCCTCTAGGAGAACACAATTACATTAACAGAAGCTTTTCATATGAAATAGGGGTCATCCAATATGAACACCACCTTCTCTCCCTGAATTCTGATGTATTATTTATCATTTAACTCTATTCTAGTGTACATTGTATTCAATAATGCATAGTCTATCACACCGCATCTCTGATACATCACTTTGAACGCTGCCTCTTCTTTCCTTACCTTCTTGCAATTCACTGCCATTTTCCAAAGGCTTTTCTAACTCTTTTTCCACTGTAGAAACTATGCTTTTTGATGATGAAATATCTGGAGGAGTATGAAATCTGTAGTATTCACCTAATCTCCCATAAGAAAAGTAATGGTTAGCATATTTGTCACAACAAGTGTTAGAAAATCCACAAATGTTAGATTTCTTACCAGATTTATAACACATCTCCTTTATTGCTCTTTTTTCTTCAATTTCTTCAGGAGTCTTTGTCCATAAACTAGAAGCATCTATAGGACATATTGTTTTTAAATTAAATTGTCCCAAAGCCAAATAATCTGAAAATTTATAAATCAGAAAGAAAAATCCCAAATATTGTTCTCAAGATTGGATTACTCTATTATTTTTAACGATTAAAATAAAAAAAAAATTCACATACTGGTACATGTTTCTAATTGCTACAACATTTTAACTTTCAGGAATAATCAGTCCAGAGAAAAGAAATGACTACTGATACATCATGTGTCATGAAATGAGAAGCTGCAGGTACAGACTCATATGTTGAAATGATGTTTGGCTATTTTGAGGATGCAGACAAAAGAGACATGGAGCTGAGGCAGAAAAATAATAATAATAATAATAATAATAATAATAATAATAATAATAATAATAATAATAATAATAATAATAATAATAATAATAATAATAATAATAATAATAATAATAATAATAATAATAATAATAATAATAATAATAATAATAATAAAGAGTTCCATGTATTCCCAAGCATGGAAACCACAGTCTCTTGGAGTGACATGTCCCAGAGAAAAGACAGTGAGAGCTTGTTTTTCTGCCGAGGATGCAGACAAAAGAGACATGGAGCTGAGGCAGAAAAATAATAATAATAATAATAATAATAATAATAATAATAATAATAATAAAGAGTTCCATGTATTCCCAAGCATGGAAACCACAGTCTCTTGGAGTGACATGTCCCAGAGAAAAGACAGTGAGAGCTTGTTTTTCTGCATGTTTATCTTGCATATATTCGGTTACTGGCACCAGTCCGTTGGATGATATGGGAGGAAATGAGGAGACTAATATGCAGAAGACCTGGGTCCAAGCCTTACCATACTCTTGCATGGATTACTTTAATGCAGATGGCAGTGTTTTAGAAATTATAAACTATATAGATATCTGTGACTTCAGAAATTAAATGTGAGACAGAGAGATGACTACTGACATATAGATCAATGGACATACGTGTACAACAATGTTTAAGAAACAGCTTTTGTGTATGAGAGAGCATTAGTAGCATATAAGCACCTGCACATATTTAAACATGAGATATCCCAGACACCATTCAACAAAAACCTTCCAATCCAAATGATCATAAGCATACATACACTAGAACAAACTTAAATGGGGATTCCAAGTTAATAATTATGAATAACAATGGATTTAAATTTTTCTCACCAAAAAACCCCCACAAATGTGTAGAAAATATGGTGAAGTTTGTGAATATGCATTGTAAATTTGAGAAAATATTTGCTTACCATTTTGTTCATCTTCTTCCTCCTCTTCATCTTCAAAATTAGTTTTTAAAACCAGAGGGTGGTGAATGGGTCGTGATATATTTTCCTGAGGTTTCAAAGGTTCCTGACTCTGGATTGGAGGTGGAATTCCTTCCTGACTTTCTTTTTGAGGTGTTATATCTACAGAGAAAAGCCAACATTTGAATTTGTTCAAAATACATCTCATGATGAGTATATCCAATGACCGACCACACTCCTAATTAAATGCCTATTTTGTTAAAAGGTGTCTCTTTTTTCCTTATTTTTGGAAAGGTAACTAAACCAACGGACAATAAATATCAACATTTTACCTGCAAGGCATGAAAAATATGTTAGTTCATAGACCTTAGGTAGCAATTATAAACATGACTTGATATATCATGACTTTGGTACAAATACAAAGTGATCACAAACATTACTGTATCCTAATGTTAGGTATGTGAGGTGAGATAAGTAACTTTATTAATCCACATTGCAACAATTAACAAAGCCAAAATAATATAAGGGAAGTCTTAAAATAGCAGAGTATATTCTATGTCCCAGAGAGGAAACGATCCATTGGTTCTTGTTTTCTGTGACTAGGGGAGTGACTACTTGAAAGTGAGAATGGTACTTTCAGATTTGTCTACTGGTCAAACTCTAGGTAACACTTAAACATTTTGTAAACTGCAAAACTTATCTGCAAATAATCTAAACACAACCCTCCCCCCAAAAAATGAGCGAGAACATGAATCTTCTATCATTACTAATCCAATGTCTAGTTCTCTAAATCCACAATTACCAAATTTGGCTAATTGTGAGACTCACCTAAAGAAATTATTCCAAATATTTTTTGAGTTTCTGTTCTTTATGTTTCTTATTTAGCAGGCTTAGATTAAAGGCCTGGAAATCGGATACTATTTTTAAAATGTCCCAAGTAATTATGAAGTTATCCAAGTTTGGAAACCACTGACCTAAATCAGTGAACTGAGATACCAGGTCACAGGCAGCCTTTCCCTGTGTGAGCCATCCTAGTAGTGTACAAGAAGTCCGTCCCATGCCAGATCCTCAACTTCCACACGCGTGTTTTCCCTAAATTGGGACATTTGTTGGAGAAGAGGCCAGAGGTCACAATAGCCTTTTCTCTACTTTACAAAATAAAGGCCTACACTTCATTCGTGCCAAAATTTACTGTAGTACATTTTCCTAAAAAAAATTGTTTTTATTAATTAAATATCATTAACCCAAATCATTTCCATTATTTTGATTTATACACATTTCTACCAGAAGAAAATCACAATGTGGTAGACAGAATAGTGACCCCCTCAAAGATCAGTGTCTTAATCTCCAGAACCGTGCTTACGCTAGGATATGTTGGAAGGAGGATTTAAGGTTAGGGATGAAATTAAATCTGCTAATCAGCTATCTTTACAATTGACAGATTATTCTGGATTATGCAGTTGGGACCAGGTAATCAAAGAGTCTATAAAAGTGGAAGAGATTGACTAGCCAGTGGTGTGGTGCTTAAGGCGGCTAGATCCTGCATAGTCAACTGTGTTGTTTGAATTCTGGACATGGTGACTTGAAACACACACCAAGCATGTGTGCATGTATGCCCAAAATCCCAAGAAGAGAATGGAGGAGAAGGGATTGCAATGTGGCCATGCCCCCTGGGAGGGTTTCTTTTACACTTTCCCTCCCTTTGTCATTCTCCCTCTGTCTCTCTCTGGTGAATGCACATGCACTGTAGCAAAAAAAAAAAAAAAAAAAAAAAAAAAAAAAAAAAAAGAGAGGACACGGGATTGGTAAGGTGGCTATGTCACTGGACTCCCATGTAGTTGACTGTGGTTTGAGTCCTGGACCCAGTGGCTTAAACTCACGCTGGGTATTTGTGCTTATGTGCCCAAGATCCCGAGTGGAGAATGGAGGAGAAGGGATTGTGATGTGGCCATCCCCCCTGGGGGGTGATTTCTTGCTTTCTATCTCTCTGTCTCTGTCTTTCTGGCGAGCGCACGTGCCCTATAGAAAAATCTCTCCAAAAAAAGAAGGGAAAAAAGGGGAGAGAGACACAGAAAAAGAAAGCCAGTAAAAGGGATGTGACTATAGAATCAAGGTCAGATGATGCCATGTCACAAGAACTCAACTGTCCATTGCTGACTTCCCGAAGATGGCGGAAGGGGGACATGAACCAAGAAATACAGCTGGCATCAAGAAATTAACACAAGCGAATGCTCTCCCAGAGCTCCCGCAGGAATGTGGTCCTGCCAATAATTCCAATACTTTCATTTTAATCTAGAAAGATCTGTGTCAAATTGTAACCTATAAAGCTACAAAATATTAATTTGAGTTGTCGAACCCTTTTGTTTTGTGGTCGTTTGTTACAACAGTAACAGAGAACTAATGCACATAGTGTTACAAAAGGTATCACTGGGGTCCACTTAGAATATTTTGAATTCTGGGACCAGCAGATGGCAAGATGGTTATGTCACTGGACTGCCACAAAGCCGACCACAGAGCTGTCCCAGACAGGCAGCTTAAAACACACTGGTCACATGTACATGCCGAAAATTCTGAGAAGAGAATGGAAGAGAAAGGATTGCAGTATGGCCATACCCCCTGGGGGTGTGTGATTTTTGTATATGTCTTTCTGTCTTTGTCTCTCCAATGAGCACATGTAGCTTATAGCAAAAATCTCTCTTAAAAAAATAAATGAAATAGGGAACCAGCAGTTAGCATAATGGCTATGTCACTGGACTCCCACGTAGTTGACTGTGGTTCGCGTCCCGGACCCGGTGGCTTAAAACTCACGCTGGGCGCGTGTGTGTGCATGCCCAAGATCCCAAGAGGAGAATGGAGGAGAAGGGATTGCGGTGTGGCCATCCCCCCTGGGGGGTGATTTCTTGCTTTCTGTCTCTCTGTCTCTCTCTGTCTGTCTGGCGAGCGCACACGCCCTATAGTGAAAATCTCTCCAAAAAAAAAATGAAAGAAAGAAAACAAAAAATAGTTTGTGTACATATGTACCTAGCAGTGAAATAGCTAGGTATGTACGCAGCAGTGAAGTAACTAGTATGTACCTAGCAGTGAAATAGCTAGGATACATAGTCATCATTACTTTTAACCGTCTGAGGAGCTACCACTGTTTTCTGAAGTAGCTGAACCATTTTACATTCCCACCTGCAACATACAAAAATTCAAATTTCTCCACATCCTTATCTGTACTTGTTACAATATTTCTCATAAAAATAATTTTATCAGGGCCAGGTTACATTGCTGAACTCCCATGTAGTCAACCACAGTTTGAGTCCCTGACCCAGTGGCTTAAAACTCATGCCAGGTATGTATGTGTGTGTGTGTGTGTGTGTGTGTCCAAAATCCTGAGAGGAGAATGGAGCAGGAGGGATTGTAGCATGACCATCACCCCAGGGGTGATTTTTCACTTTCTGTCTCTTATCTCTCTGGTGAGTGCACATGCCCTACAGCAAAAATCTCTCTAACATAATAATTTCATCAACTCATCCTAATGGATGTTAAATGATCTCATTTGGTTTTGATTTATATTCCTTTAATGGTTAATGGTGATCATCTTTTCATGTGCTTATTGGTCAGTGTATATCTTCTCCAAGAAATATTATTTAGATCCTTTGACCAGTCTGTAATGGAGGAGTTTTTTATACTATTCTAGGTACAATATTACATATTCTAGGTACAATCCTTTATCATAAATAGGATTTGCAAATATTGTCTCCCATCTTCTGGGGTGTTGTTTCACTTTCATGATATTATTGGAAACAGAAGTTTTTCATTTTAAAATCCAATCCATGTTTTCTTTGGTTGCTGGTATTTTTGGTATCATATATCTAAGAAAGCTTCGTATAACCTAAGTTTTCTTTATAGAGTTTTATAGTATTAGCTCTTCCATTTCATCGTTTGATACATTTTCAGTTAATTTTTTTTATATAATGTGAGGAAGATGCATACCTTAATCACTTTGTATGTGGCTTTCCAATTGTGGCAGGATTATTTTTTTGTTTTGTTTTGTTTTGTTTTGTTTTG